TTCCCCTGTTCTTTCAAGCTTCTTTTTTTAGTTAAGTGTAAGATAGTATTTCATTTTCAAGCCATGCTGGCCCCCTGCCATATTTACTGTTCTTTCTACATTGGGTTGTTTTTTTCCTGCAACCTCAATAAGGATTCTTTAAAATACAGCCAGTTTGTTTTGCAGAGAATGCCAGGCTATTTTAAAGCTATGATTTGAGGTTTGCTTTGCCTCTGAAATGCTTCCCACTTTATCTGACAAGATTTGCCAGAGTGAGACAAATTCGTTGCTCACTTATACCCATACAGTTACACTGGGCCAAATTCTGCATTCATATCCACACACTGGCTATGAAACTGGGAGCAGAACCTGGCTCGTTTTCTGGTACTTATTTGAGTTCTCAAACAATATTTAAAATACTTCTTTTTAAGCATTTTACTGCAACTTTAAAGTAACATGACTTGTGCTATAGATCAGTAATCAAATCGTCTTGTGTTCATATAACCTCTATGGGCCTGATTCTCATTTACACTAAAGCACTTTTTCATCACCAGGGTGATGTAAAGGGGCCTCAATATAAATGAGACTCAGGCCCTATAGGCCTATAGCTCGTCCTTGTAACTGAATGTACTGATAAACTGTATTTATAAAGCATGTTTCATAAAAAGTATCCCAGAAAGCCTTACACAGTTAAGACAATATTATGTCTTGTGATAAGCCTAAGCCACAAAATTTGGCTCCAGATTTCAACTCCCCCAGTGTTCAGCGGCGTTGGGATCTGGGGATTTTGGACAGAGTCTAGCTCTAGTTAGAACTATTCTGTTTCAAGTGGATGCAGGATTCTCCTCCACTTCCCATCCTAAACTGTTGTGTGGTGTTGCTGTGTAGTTAAACAGCTGCCATCTCACCTCCCACACCTGTATCTTTTGGAAAACACTTGAGGAGGCATTGGTGTGAACCTAAAAGATTTTTTTATTCTACTGTAATCATTTCCTCCTGCCCCGCCCCACACCACTTTACATATCTTTCCCCTCCCTCCTTGCTCAACAAATTAAATAAGGCCTACAAGTGGGAATTTCCAAGTGTTTTTGGCTAACTATGAGGTAGATGGTGCCCGGATCTAATGCAACCATGCAGGTTAGTAGAGGGACCTCTACTAACCTGCAGGGTAATCCATTGGCAGGCTGCAAGACATTTTGTTTACATTGACTGTCCACAGGCACAGCCCCCTGCAGCTCCCAGTGGCCCTGGTTCCAGGCCAATAGGAGCTGTGCGAAGCAGCAGCCAGCACGTCCCTGGAGCCCCGCCACTTCCCACAGCTCCCTTTGGCTGGGAATGGCGAACCGCGGCCACTAGGAGCTGCGGGGGGCCATGCCTGCAGATGGTCAACGTAAACAAAATGTCTCGCCGCCTGCCAATGGATTACCCTGCAGGTTAGTAGAGGTCCCTCTACTGTCCACAGGCACAGCCCCCTGCAGCTCCCAGTG